CTGCAATTTTGGCAGGGCAGAGGAATGTGTAGACAACACTGTGTGACAGCAACAGATAAACAAAGGATCACACAAAACAAAGTAAAACAATGGCTGAAACTAATGACTCATCCTCTCCTTAACTGTAGTAAAAACATTTATGCAAATTAAAACAAGCCCAGCTCTCCGACACCACCTCCTACCGCCCCCTTGATCATGATCCCACCCCCGATCACCAAATCATCATCTCCCAAACCATCCACAACCTCATCACTTCAGGTGACCTCCCACCCACAGCCTCTAACCTCATCATTCCCCAACCCACACCGCCTGTTTCTATCTCCTTCCCAAAGTCCACAAACCTGACTGCCCTGGTTGAACCATTGGCTCCGCCTGCTTCTGTCCCACTGAACTTATCTCCACCTATCTTGACTCCATTTTCTCCCCCTTGGTCCAGGAACTCCCTACCTACATCCGTGACACCACCCACGCCCTCCACCTCCTCCAAAACTTCCAATTCCCTGGTCCCCAACACCTCATCAAAAAAGGATTTCTGAAGAAGGGTCTCGACCGGAAACGTCAGCTTTCCTGCACCTCTGATGCTGCTTGGCCTGCTGTGTTCATCCAGCTCTACACCTTCTTATCTCAAGTAATCATCCACAATGGGGAGAAAAGTCCAAGGCCATCAGCATTTCTAATCATATAACAGCAGTGACATATGACATCACAAAGATTAGCATCAAGTCAGCAGAGTGGGCAGAACACAAAGATGCAAGGACTACATATGTTGTTTGGAAATATAAAGCAGAAAATACAAGTTTAAATTATTCTTTGCACCTCAAAGGAAATGTGGTGCTGTGCAGCATTTGCCTATTGGTTACACAAGAGCTTGCAACTTTTGAATAGTCAGCTTTGTTTTGTTGAGGGGAGATCACGTCCAACCAACCTAATTGAATTTTTCCCCTGATGACCACGTGGACGAGGGCAATGCTTTTTACGTAATCTACTTGGAATTCAGCAAGGCTTTTGCTAAACTCCAATGTAGGAAAGCAATAGCAAAGGTAAGCCAATGGGATCCAAGTAAATTTGGCAAATTGTATCCACAATTGACTCCTTTATTCTTAATGGAATGAGGGTGTCACCGAACAGCAGCATTTATTGCCTATCCGTAATTGCCCAGAGGGCAGTTCAGAATCAACCACATTACTGTGGGTCTGGAGTCACATGTAGGCCTGACCAGGTAAGGATGGCAATTTCCTTCCCTAAAGGACGTTAGTGAACCAGATGGGTTTTTCCGACAATCGACATTGGATTCATGGTCATCATTAGATTCTTGATTCCAGATATTTTATTGAATTCAAATTCCATCATCTGCCAAGGCAGGATTTGAACCTGAGTCCCCAGAATGTTATCTGGGCGTCTGGATTAACAGTCCAGCGATAATACCACTAGGCCATCGCCTCCCTGAACGGCAGGAAGCAGAGAGTGATGGTTGAGGGGTGTTTTCCTGACTGGAAGTCTGTGTTCATTGGGATTCCACAAGGGCCTTTGGTTTTTTTGGTCAATCTAGATGATTTAGACTTGTCATAGGCTGAAAAATTATGAAATGAGACTGGACTCTTAATATAAATGGAAATCCCTCAGTCTTCATAAGCACCTTAGTAATAAAAGGATGATAATAAGAGGAGTGGGGCCAATCAGAGACCAAGAAGGTGTGACTGAGGTGTTAAATGGTTGATTCAGTGTCACATATACTGAAGTACGGTGAAAAACTTTGTTTACGAGCAGTACAAACAGATCATTGTAAGCAAGGATGTACAGATCAAAAAAATTTAGAGGCACACAGGTTACGTTACACAGGGCATGCACTAGGCAAGGTCAGTGTCAGCAAAATGAGCTTTATTTGAGGTTATAATATTCGTTCATCAGTCCAATAACGGCCAGGAAGAAGCTGTTCCTGAACCTGCTGGTGTGTGTGTTCAGGCTTCTGTATCTTCTGCCTGACGGAAGAAGTTGTAGGAGATTATTACTGGGGTGTGATGGGTCTTTAATAATGATGGCAGCCTTTCTGTGGCAGTGAGCTGAGTAAATAGAGTCCATGGGTGGAAGGTTGCGTCCTTGCTAGTTTGGGCTGTGCACACCACCTTCTGAGTTTCTTAGAATCCTGGGCAGAGCAGTTGCCATACCAGGCTGTTATGAACCAGGACAATATGCTTTCAGTTGTGCATCAAAAGAAGTTGGTGAGGGTCCTTATGGACGTGCCAAATTTCCTGAGCCACCTGAGGAAGAAGAGGCATTGTTGTGCATTCTTGACCATTGCATCTATGTGGGAAGTCCAGGACAGGTGGTCGGTTATCGTCACTCCAAGGAACTTGACGCTCTCCACCCTCAAACCCTGTTCTGTTGATGTAGATGGGGGTGTGTTCTCCTCCTTTCTTTCTGAAGTCAATGATCAGTTCTTTAGTCTTGCCGACATTGAGAGAGAGGTTGTTCTGATTGCACCATGACACCAAGCCCTCTAGCTCCCTCCTGTATTTTGACTCGTTAATGCTAGGTATCCATCCTACTATGGTGTCGTCAGCAAACTTGTAGATGGCATTTCTTCGGATTTGGCAACACAGTTGTGGGTGTACAGGGAGTATAGTAGGGGGCTGAGGTCGCAACCCTGGGGTGGCTCCAGTGTTGAGGGTTATTGTGGAGGTGCAGTTGTCAGTGTTCACTGATTGCGGTCTGTGGGTCAGGAAGCTGAGGATTCAGTTGCAGAGGGCGGAGCCAAGACCAAGGTCATGGAGTTTTGAGATCAGTCTGGAGGGGATAATGGTTTTGAAGGTGGAGCTGTAGTTGATGAGCACAAGTCTGATGTAGGTGTCCATGTGCTCCAGGGATGAGTGCAGGGCTGGAGATATGGCATCCACAGTAGACCTGTTACATCAGTAGGCAAATTGTAAGGGATCGAGGCAGGCTGGGAGACTGGAGTTGATGTAGGCCACAACCAACCACTTGAAACACTTGATGATTATTCAGGTCAGAGCCACTGAATGGTAGTCATTAAGGCAAAACTCTACATTTGTCTTTACCCATGAGGCGGATGCTCCCCAGACCGCGGTGACAGAGGAGGAATCTGTCGCTCGGTCAGAAGGTTTTAAAATTGATAAAGCACCTTTACGTTTGAATATTTTGAGTTAAAGTACTTGAAATCACTGGGACCAGATGAGGTGCATCCAAGGATATGGAAGGAAGTGAGAGTGGAAATTATAGATATATTGGCATTTATTTTTCATTCTTCTTTGGCTTCGAGGGTGGTGCTAGAAGATTGGAAAATTGCAAATGTATAACACCCTGGTTCCAAAAAACATTGTAAAAGTAGATGCAGTAATCTGAGATCAGTTAATTTAACTTTGGCAGTGGGGGAATAGTAGCATGGAGAAATGTGTATTGGTTTGGAATGGTCAGCATGGGTTTAAGTAAACAAAATAATGCCTAACTTATTCAATATAATCCAGAAATGTACCAGAAAGTGTTGATACGATGTACATCAAAAATCTTTGATACTGTGCCCCCCCCCCCGCAGGAGTCTTGTGAAGGAAGTTTTAAGTTGTGGAATAAAAGGGACAGTAGTGACATGGGTACAAAATTGGCTGAGATAGAAAGCAAAGTGTTATCATTAATAGATATTGTTGTGGCTGGAGAAAGATTTGTCGTGGGATTCCTGAGGATTGGTTATGGGCCCTTTGTTCTCCGATATCCATAGGATCGTGGTGTCGGGGACAATTTCAAAATTTACAGATGACACAATTTGAGACAACTGTAAATTGTGAAGAGGAGAGTTTGGAATTTTAAAATGATGTTGACTAGTTGGTGGAATGGGCAGATAGATGGCAGATGAAGTTTTATGTGGAGAAGTGTGAAATTTGTTAAACTGTGGTACAAAGAGCATGGAAAGACAGTTTGAAATACAGGATTCTGTTCTAAAGAGTGTGCAGAAGCAGAGAGACCTAGTTTTATGTTTGCAATTCTCCAGTCTTCCAGCACCACCCCTGAATCCAGGGAAGATTGAAAAATAATTGCTAGTAGGTCTACAATTTCCATTCTGGCTTCCCTCCATATCCTTGGATGCGCCTCAACTGGTCCCATGTTTAACCCAAAATATTTAAGTTTTCAAAGCTGGTAGGATTCATAATAATAAAACAAGTTTTTTTTTACAGAAAGTATTAGCATAAAATTCTAGGCTTTGTAAATAGGGGCATAGAGCAATGAAGTTAAGATGAACTCAATATAAAACATTGATTGGACCTCAGCTGGAATATTGCATACAATTCTGGGCAAGGGTATGAACGCATTTCTATCCTACAGAAAGTATATGAATGCATTACACAAAGTGCAGAAGAGGTTAAAAGAATTTTCCAGGATGAGGCACTTAGGAAGGAAAAATTGTTTCCTTTGGAGGGGCGAAGACCAAGAGAAGATTTGATTAGAAATTTTCAAAAAGCATGAGGAGTCTGAACACTTGATACCAAATTAAAATGCTGTCTCAAATGAGGTTGGCCAAATGGCCCACTACAACCTGTCTACTATAATGCTGTTGGTGTAACAAAGGGAGTTTGTTATGAAGAGAAATTGAACAGGTTAGGATTGCTGTCTGTGGCGCAGAGACGACTGAAGGGGGATGTGATTGAGATGTACAAAATTTGGAGAGGCTTTGACAGGAAGGAACTCTTTCACACAGGATGGTGGTGGGAATTTGGAACTTGCTGCTTGTAAGGGGGTTGAGGCAGAAAACTACATCTCATGACTTATTTTGATGTGTATTTACAGTGCCGAGGCATGTAAGACTCTGGGCAGGAAACTGGGATTAGAATTATTAGGTGCTTGTTTTTGATGAGCCTGGATTTGATGGGTTGAAGGGCCTTTTTTGACACTACACTTCCTGATTTCTACTGAGTGTCAAAGATCGTTTCAGTTTGCAAGAAAAGTTTCTCTGATCTACCAAAAACTTAACTATTTTTCTTTTTATCTTTTAGGACTAATGGCAGTAAAGTGACCAATCATGGCGCTAATGATTCCACCAGTGAAGCTGAAATGGTTAGAGCATCTCAATAGTTCTTGGATCACGGAGGACAGTGAATCCATTGCCACGAGAGAAGGTGTTTCTATTTTATACAGTAAGCTAGTTAGCAGTAAGGAGGTAATACCATTACCACAGCAAGTACTCTGCCTAAAGGGACCTCAGTTACCAGACTTTGAACGTGAGGCCCTCTCCAACGATGAACAAGAACACTACCTGGATGCTCTCCTCAGTAGCCAGCTGGCTCTGGCGAAAATGGTTTGCTCCGATTCTCCATTTGCAGCATCCCTTAGGAAGCGCTTGTTAGTGTTACAGCGAGTTTTTTATGCTCTTTCCAACAAATACCATGATAAAGGTAAAGTCAAACAGCAGCAACATTCACCTGAAAGTAGTTCTGGAGCAACGGACATCCATTCTGTAAGTGAACGACCAAGATCCAGTACAGATGCTCTGATAGAGATGGGAGTTCGGACTGGATTAAGTTTATTGTTTGCACTATTACGACAGAGTTGGCTGGTGCCTTCAACAGTGCCAGGATTGAACCTCTGTAATGATGTTATTCATACGGCAATAGGTGTGATAAGCTCATTGCCACCATTATCTTTAGCAAATGAAAGTAAAATTCCAGCAATGGGACTGGACTGCTTGTCGCAAGTGACAACTTTCTTAAAAGGAGTCACAATGCCAAACTCAGGAGCAGATATTCTGGGACGAAGATTAGCCTCAGAGTTGCTACTTGGACTTGCAGCCCAGCGTGGTTCTCTGCGGTATCTTCTGGAATGGATAGAAATGGCTTTGGCTGCATCGGCTGTAGTTAGCACTATGGAGAAAACGAAACTGCCTATGAATCGTGAAGGAATGATCAGTCATGATTGCTTCATGAACGTTCTTGTACAAATGAGACGTTCTTTGGTATGTTCCTGGAATCTATACCCTGGTATCCCTGCATCTGATAATCCAACTCCCTTGCCTCCTCCAAACTTAATCGTTTGATGACTTTCAATTTTTTTTCATTCTTATGCGCAATTACTTTGCGTGAACTAGATTTTATGCATTGAAAACATTTTTTGTTTAACTTACAGGAATGCATTTCTTTTGAATTATGAGTTTCATATAAGACAAATATCACAGAATTCATGAGCCAGTCAGTATGAGTAAACAATGATGGTGATGAGCCACTGGTGTTAAGATGTAAATAAATTAGTTCACCTATTTGACAGCAACAAGGTCTTTAATCCCAGCTGTAGAGTGCATCTTAACATATGATATTGGAGTAAATGATTCAAGAAAAACGGGTTTCAGGTAAGATGCTTTTAACGACCACTATCGTGTGCTGTAGCTTACTTACCCGGAAGTTTGAAGACAAGTACATGTTTGGAAGTTGCAACAAACAAAGCAGCTTCAACAAAAGGAAAACATGAATTTGCAAAGAGTGAGCCTGGTCAGATAGTTAAGGGACTGCTCTGAGAAAATAGCAAATTGCTGATAGAACATGGAACAGTAGCACAGGAACAGGCCCTTGGGCTCACCAGGCTTGTGCCAACTCTCTATAACTGTATAAACTAAAAACCTTTTTGCCCCTGTGGTCCATATCCCTTTATTCCAGGCAAATTCATATATCTGTCAAGATGCCTTTAAACGTTGCTGCTGTTTCCACCACCTCCACTCCCACTGGCAGTGCATTCTGTGTTTTCAAAAAAAATACTTGTCTGTCGCATCTCTTCCTTATGTCCCTTGTAACTGTCTTTTCTAACCTGGGAAAAAGATTCCTATGATCCATTCTATCCATATCTCTCATAATTTTGTAAACTTCTATCAGGTTGCGCCTCATCCTTCCATATTCAAGTGAAAACAAACCAAGTTGTCTCTCCTTGTAGCTAATACCTTCTAAACCAGGCAACATACTGGTAAAGAACCTTTTAACCTGTGATGCCACTTTCAAGGAAATATGTGAATGAACTCTCAAATAAATTGCTGTGTGGAAAGTTTAAGAGCATTAAGTATACAGCATGTAAAATTAGCCAATTAATTGTTCAAAAAAGTTGATTGAATTTCTGAATGGAGGAATTTTTAAAAATTGTATCCATGTTGAAATTGACATTGTGTAGTACAGAACTTGAATATTTTGGAAAGAACATTTTTGTGAGAGCTTTTCATCTTACAATTCTCAGGACATTTCACAAGAATGCAAATTCGAGGGGTAAAGCAGCATGTGAAGAGAGTGCTGATTAGTGAGTAACTTGTCTTTGAGTGAGGTGTTGCTTTAGCGACTGCCCCCCATTAATTCCGATTGACAGGTTTTGTTGCTGGTTTCTTTCTCAGGGCGGTGTCTTGACAAATGAGAGTAGTTTGAAATTTAACAAATTTAGGTCGCAGTTAATTGCAGGCAATCTTAAAACTTGGGTTAATTCAGAAGTTAGAGTGCAAATTAATTAGGTCAGACTGGCAAGAGTGTGGCCGGGAACAAGGAAGACTGATGATTTCAACTGCATTTATTTCAGTGTAGAGGCTGATGGGCAAAGCAGGTGAACTCGAAGCATGGGTATGAATGTAGAGTCATAGAATCTTACAGCACAGAAGCAAATCGTTTGGCCCAATTTGTCAATGCTGACTAGGTTTCCTAAACTGAACTAGTGACCTGAAATGTCAAGGCCCTTCAGAAACCCTTTGAGAAAAGGGTCCCAACATGAAACGTCAACTTTCCTGCTCCTCTGATGCTTCCTGGTCCACTATGTTCCTCCAGCTCCATACTGTGTTGTCTCTGACTCCAGAATCTGCAGTTCTTGCTATCTCTCAAAGATCAGTGGACTTGTGGATAGTGAAGACGGTTGTCCAAGGGTATAGTGGGATATAGGTCAGTTGCAGAGAAGGTGGAGAAATGGCAGATGGTGTTTAATCAATGTAAGTGTGAGGTGCTGCGCTTTGGGAGATCAAATGCTAAGGAAAAGTATACATTTAATAGCAGGACTCAACAGCTTTGATGAACAGAGGGATGTCGGGGTTCAAATCCAGAGCTCCCTGAAAGTGCCACACAAGTAGATATGAAGGCAAAGAAGACGAATGGCATACTTTCCTTTATTGGTCTGGCAATTGAGTACAAGAGTTGGGATGTCTTGTTGCAGCTTTGTAAGACTTGGATTAGTCTGCACTTAGAGTATTACGTTCAATTCTGACCGCCATGTTACTGGAAAGAAGTGGAGGCTTTGGAGAGGTTGCAGCAGAGGTTTACCACAACGCTGCCTCGATTAAAGGGTATGAGCTATAAGGAGAGGCTAGAAAAATGTGGGTTGTTTTCTCTGGAGTAGTGGAGACCGAGAGGTGATTTGATAGAAGTCTGTAAATTTCGGAGATGTGAAGATAGGGTTGACGTTCAGAATCTTTTGCAGGGTTGAAATGTTTAATACTAGGGGGCATGTGTTTAAGGTGAGGAGAGGAAAGTTCAAGGGAGATATGTGGGGCAAGTTTTTTACACTATTGGAGGCAGATACGATAAAGGTGTTTCAGGGACGTAGATAAGCACGTAAGTATGTAAGGAATGGAGGAATATGGACCAAGGGTAGGCAGAAGGAATTAGTTTAATTTGGTGTCATGTTCGGTGCAACATTATGGGACAAAGGATCCGTTTCTGTGTTGTACTGTTCTGTGTTCTATGTTCCTATGTCATTTTTAAATAACTCTCCTTTTAACTTAAAAATATGCCCCCTAGTCTTGAAATTCCCCATTCCAGGGAAAAGACACCTATCATTTACCCTATCTATGCCCCTCATGATTTTATAAACATCTACAAGGTCACCTCTCAACCTCCCATGCTCCAGTGGAAAAGTCCCAGCCTGTCCAGCCTTTCTTTATCAACCAAACCTTCCATACGTGGCAACATCTTGGTAAATCTCTTCTGAACCTCACAAGATTAATAATATCCTTAATATGGCAGGGTGACCAGAACTGGACTCAGAACGCCAGAAGAGGCCTCATCAATTTTTATAGATAAACCATAGAAAGCATTCTATCTGGGTGCGTAACGCCCTGGTACAGCAACTGCTCTGCTCCAGGGCCATAACAAACTAGAGAAAGTTATGTGCACAGCCCAGACCATCAAGGAAGCTAATCTCCCATGGACTCCATTTACGCTTCTCATTGCCATTGAAAGACTACCAATGTCATCAAAATCTCATTCCAGTCCTGCAATGCTCTCTTCCAATGTCTTCCGTTAGGCAGAAGATACAGAAACTCAAACACAGCAACAGATTCAAGAACAGCTTCTTCACTGCTGTTATTAGACTCCTGAATGAGAGAGCGCACGTCTGTGTGTGTGTGAGGGGAGGGAAGAGTGAGCGTATGAGTAAAGGGTAGGGGGGCCATGGGAAAACGAAGTGGGGGGGGGGGAAGGAGGGAGTGTGTGTGTGTGTGTGTGTGTGTAGTCACTTTGCTGTGACATGAACCCAAGATCCTGGTTGAGTCAGTACCGAACTTGGCTATCAGCCTCTGCTCGGTGACTCTGCGTTGTTGTATATCCTGAAGTCTGCCTTGGAGGACGTTTACCCAAAGATCCAAGACCGAATTTCCTTGACTGCTGAATTGTATGTTTATTTCCGTGAAGGGTATATAATTGCGTTTTTTTTTGCTGCTGCTTCACTTGTCTGAGGACATTGATCTCTGCTTTTATGACTACTTCTAATTTGTTGTTCAGACACCAACTGTTAAGTTACATTTGATATTTTTAACAGTGCAAACTTGAATTTTTACAGGGTGCATCAGCTGATAGGAGTCAGTGGCGAGAGCCGACTAGGACACCCGATGGTCAATGTTCATTGTATGAGGCAGCTCTCTGCCTCTTTGAAGAGGTTTGTGGGAAATCTCCTTTTCTATGCAATATTTTGATTATTCATAATGTTTAAAAAATGTTTTATGCTTAAAGTAGAACTGCTTATTTAGGAAAATAAACGGATACGCCTGTATTTCGTAAAGCGCTTTGCCATGCTGTCACTATGTTCATGTGGAGGTGTCAGTGTTAGATTGGTGTGGACAGGGTCAGAAATCTCACACCACCAGATTCTAGTCCAACAGGTTTATTTGAAAACAGCCTGTGTTGGATTATAACCTGGTGTCGTGTGATTCCTGACCTTGTCAATATGTTGACATATCCATCAAATTTCTTTTGAAGTATAGACTCTGTTTAGCAAGCATACTAGATTGGAATTGAGATGCAAGTGTTTTTCTTGATTCTTTCCTGCGATGTGTGTATGCATGCTGCAAGTTTCTAACTTTGAGATGAGCCATGTGTCCATTTGTTGTTTGTAATTTAGAATAATAAAGCTTGAAATTAATGATTTTCCTTGACTCTTTGGTTCATAGGTTTGTCGAATGGCCTCCGACTACTCCAGAACTTGTGCTAGCCCTGACAGCTTGCAGAGTGGCGATGCCCCTGTGGTGTCAGAAACATGTGAAGTGTATGTTTGGGGTAGTAACAGCAGTCATCAACTCGTCGAAGGAACACAGGAGAAAATTCTGCAGCCAAAATTAGCTTCCAGTTTTGCAGATGCTCAGATTGTAAGCATAATAGTTATGTAATTGCATTTTCTGCTTTTTCAACTTGACAGTTTTTATAAATGATGTATGTTTTGTAAAACTGAGGAAACTGTAGCAGCTGGCTATAGATATAGCTCCTGTTTCTACTGCAGATATCAGTGAACTTAACCGCATTGCATATGTTTTAGTGTTTGGCATATCATCTAGAAGAAAATGTGGCCATCTATATGAAGAAAAAGTAAGAACAATTGACAAGCCAGTGGTGTTCCATAAGTTTTGACCTTAAGTTATTTAATTTAAATTATTTTATGGCCACACTGCTATTGCACTCACTGATGTTCCATGTAATATTCATAATCTCCTTTGCTGAAATGCTGTCTTTATTTGCAGATGTTAAATTCACAATCACAGTAGTTCAATTTATAATGACAACTTATAGATGTGAGCAGAGTTTAAGAGCAGGGAAGTTATGCTGGAACTATTTGAAATGGTGGTGAGGCCACTGCTAGAGTGCTGTGTGCACTTCTGGAATCCATGTTACAGGCGGGATTTGACGGTACAGGAATGGGTGCAGAGGAGATTTATTAGGATGTTGCCTGGTCTACAGAGTTTTAGTTATGAAAAGGGATTGGATAGACTGAGGTTGCTTTCCTTGGAGCAGTGGAGACTGATATGATTGAGATGAATAAAATTATTAGGGGGATGGGGTGTATAGAAACATACGTAGAAAAACATAGAAGATAGGAGCAGGAGGAGGCCATTCGGCCCGTCGAGCCTGCTCCGCCATTCATCATAGTCATGGCTGATCGTCCACCTCAGTAGCCTAATCTTGCTTCCTCCCAGTAACCTTTGATCCCATTCGCCCCAAGGAGTATATCTAGCTGCCTGTTGAGTACATTCAATGCTTTGGTATTAATTACTACCTGTGGTATTGAATTCCACAAGCTCACCACTCTTTGGGGAAAGAAATGTTGGCTAATTTATGCATTTGCCCTTCCTAGCAATATTTTGGTAAAATAATTGGTTGTGTTGTTGTGAGGATGTGTGGAATGCTAAGAACTTAATTTTGTAGCAGTAACTATATGTGAGCAATGTTGGTATGAGGAGGTCAACAAAATAAATTGCCAACTTGTAGTGATCAGGTTGAGGATGAGATATTCACACAGATGGAAAGAAGTGAAATGAATGGATGATTTGGGTTGACAAATGGGCAACGTGGAAATGAGAAATCAGAGCACAAAAGAAAGATAATCCGTCGTCTTAAAATACCAAGACAGATCTGTGTTGCCTTCATTCAGTGTGTGTGGATGAGGCCCAGCAAGGGTGAGCTTTTATTCACCCTATCCTCAATTTCTGTATGCCACTGGTGCTCAGAAATCTATGAATTTCGACCTTTAAACGTACTCGAAGACTGAGCCTCCACAATTCTCAGTTGTAGGCAATTCTAAAGGTTCACATTCCTCTGAGTAAAATTTATTTCTCCTCATCTCTGATCCAAAATGAGCATTTCCCTTATTTTTAAAATTGTGCCCTTTGGTTCTAGACTCACCAACCAGAGGAAACATCATACCTGGACCTACCTTGTCCCACCCCTGTATTCTATGGGTTTCAATGAGATCAGCACACATTCTTTGAAACTGTGGAGAATACAGACACAGTTCTCCATAGGACAGCTCCACCATCCTGGGGCTAGTCCGATGAACCCGTGTTGCGTTCCTTTTGTGGAAATAATATCTTTCTCAAAATAAGGAGACCAAAAATTCTCAACATTCCAGGTATGGTCTGACCCCAAGTCATTAGACAATTGAAGCAAGAATTTATGACAGGTAATTCTGCTAGAACACATGAATTAACATGAATTTTAGCAGCACGGTGGCTCAGTGGTTAGCACTGCTGCCTCACAGCGCCAGGGACCTGGGTTCGATTCCACCCTCTGGTGACTGTCTGTGTGGGGTTTGCACATTCTCTCCGTGTCTGCGTGGGTTTTCTCCGGGTGCTCCGGTTTCCTCCCACAGTCCAAAGATGTGCAGGTTAGGGTGGATTGGCTGTGCTAAATTACCCATAGCATTCGGGGATGTGTAGATTAGGTGGGTTATAGGGGGATGAGTCTGGGTGGGAAGTTCTGAGGGTCAGTGTGGACTTGTTGGGCCGAAGGGCCTGTTTCCACACTGTAGGGATTCTATGAATTGGCTGTAACGCGATTGATGAACATGTTTGGATAACATGAACTTTCTGCTGTACAAATATAGCGATTTTTCTATCGCGATTTCCCTATAAGGTCGAGCGAAGTCACACAACTCCAATCCTCTAACATGAAGGCTAACATTCCATTGACTTTCCTAATAGTTTCTTGGACCAGCATATTAGCCTTCAGTGACTTAGTAACACAGACACCTAGATCCCTTTGTAAATCTATACGTCTGAACCTCTTGTCATTTAAGGTATAATCTGCATAGCTGTTGCTCCTGCCAAAGTTAATATCCTCTCATTTTTTCACATAATATTCCACTTGCCATGTAATGGCTCTGTCCAATTTCTCCTGAAGCCACTTTACATTTTCCTCACAACGTACAGTACAAATTAGTATTATTCGAAAGTTTGGAAATATTACATTTGGTCCCCACCTCCAAATCATAAAGTTGGACGATATCAAAAGCCTTCTGAAGAATGTCCGTTGGCTCTCCAACAAGTTTGTTAAACATGGTTTTCCATTCACAAATCCATGCTGACCATGGCCAATTAGATGATTATCAACAGGTGCCTAATTATCCTATCCTTTATAATAGATTCCAGCTTCCCCCTGTTGTGGCTGTTAAGCTAACGGGTATACATTTTTCTTTTGCTGTCTTTCTCTTTCAATAGTGGGGTGATGTGCTCCCTACCAATCCACCACAATTATTCCAGAAACTTTAGGGATTTGGAAGACGATCACCATTACAACAACTCCTCTTTAGGTATCTCTTTCAACACTCTGGGGTGATTTGCATCAGATCCTGGAGATTTATTAACTGTCAGCCCCAGTAATTTCTCCAGTAGAATCATCTTGCTAATGCTTATTTTCTTTACCTCCTCATTCTCTTCAGTTACTGGATCCGCTACTTTTGGGATATTTTTAGCATCTTCCTTGGTGAACACAGACATAGTGCAATAATTTAGTTTCTCTGCAGCTTCTCTATTCTCCATTATAATTTTTCCTGACTTTACCTTTAATTAACCCACAGTTGTTTATTCCAAGCATTTCCATTTTATTAACAATTTACAGTCTCTTTTTGGTATTTCCTGGATTTCGTTCCTATTCTATTTTTATTTTCCTTGTAAGTTTTTTAGTCCTCCTTTATATTCTATAAATCTCCCAATTATCTGAATTGCTGCAATTTCTGAAAACTTCATAGGCCTTTTGTTTTCAGCTTAAATAATCCTGACCTTCCTTTGTTAGCTGTAGTTGACTGACTTTTTTGAATTTTTTCCCCTTTGAAGGAATGTACAGTTGCTGCCAGTCATGTAATAGTGCACTCAGCCTCTTTCCTGTATTCTGTCTTGTTATTGTTTGAGATTGACGATGGTGGTGTAGTCTGCAAATTTGTAAATGGAGTTGAGATGGAATTTGGCCACACGGTTGTGAGTGTATAAAAAGTATATAAGGGGTCTGAGTACCAGCTTTGCAGGACACCGGTGTTGAGGATTATGGGGGAGGAGGTGCCATCGTCTGTTCTTAGTGATTGCAGTCAATGCGTCCGGAAGTTGAGGATCCAGTTAGAGTTGGGGGAGCTGAGACCTAGGTCTCAGAGTTGAGCGATGAGTTTGTTTGGAATTATGGTGTTGAAGGTGGAGCTGTAGTTAAGAAGTAGGATCCTAACATTGGTATCCTTGTTATCCACATGTTCCAGGATGAGTATAGGGCTAGGGAGATAGTGTGTGCTCTGGACCTGTTACACTGGTAGGTGAATTGCAAAGGATCATGGTAATTTGGTAATCTGGAGTTGATGTGTGCCATGACTAACCTCTTGAAACACTCCATAATTATGGAGGTCAGAGCCGCAGGGCTGTAATCATTAAGGCACACTGCATGACTTTTCTTTGGCCCCAGGATGATGGCCGTCTTCTTCAAGTAGGTGGGAACTTCAGGTTGTAGGAAGGAGAGGTTGAAGATGTCTTTGAATACTCCAACCAGCTGGTCTGCATAAGATCTGAATGGACGACTGCGGACTGTATACGGGCCAGTCGCTTTCTGTGAATTCACTGTCAAGAAGGCCGATTTAATGTCTGTGGCGGTGACTGTGGGTACAGCTGCAGTCAAGGCTGTTGGGATAGGTGACATTGTTTCGTGACCTTTTGTTCAAAGCAAGCGTATAATACATTAAGTTTGTCGGGTGGGGAGATACTGTTGCCTGCGATTCTGTTTGACTTCGTTTTGTAGCCAGTTATGTCACGTAAGCCTTACCACAAATGACGTGTGTCCATGTGGTTGATCCGGGTCTCAAACTTAGTTTGGATTTGCCTTTTGGTATCCCTGATGGCTGCAGGAAGGTCGTACCTGGATTTCCTGCGTAGGTCAGGTTTGCCTGGCTTGAATGCCTCAGACCTGGACTTGAGTAGGGGGTGAATTTTCTCGTTCATCCATGGTTTCCGGTTGGGGAACATTTGGATTAACTACTTTGTCATGCGGTCTCCTATACACTTAGTAGTCAAGTCTGTAACATGTGACGATGCTGTCACTTTAAGTGTTTCTTTTTGTCCTAGTTGGTATTTTTTTTGAGGAGACCATGTAAGTTCGAGGCGAGGAGCTGTCTCTAAAAGTAAACAATTTGTGAGGTCTGAGATAACAAGATGTAGAGCTGGATGAACACAGCAGGCCAAGCAGCATCATAGGAGCAGGAAGGCTGACGTTTCGGGCCTAGACCCTTCATCATGCTCCTATGATACTGCTTGGCCTGCTGTGTTCATCGAGCTCTACACCTTGTTATCTCAGATTCTGCAGCATCTGCGGTTCCTACTATCTCTGATACAATTTGTGAGGTCTTGTGATTTTTTTTAAAAGTTGGAACAATGGAAGCAGCCTGGGTGTGGCCAGCTCCCTCAGACCAGGCTTTCTAGTTCTATTTAGTTTTTAGGTTTAGTTTTTTTAAGCAGAAGCCTTGGAGATCTTAAAAGAGTTGGAAGCTTCAGTGAATGTCTCCTAGCTGCTGCTTTCTGTGGATTTTCTGTTGATGCTTTTTCCTTCTGGATTGGAGATCTGCATGTGAGAATCTGTCTGAATTTGCCTTTTTGCCAAGGGGTGTGTTTATGGGATGTAACTGTATTGGAACAGTTAATTAGCAATAGGTACTATATCTATTATTCAGTTAAGTTTTCCGTAGTCAAGTTGTTATAAATTCCTATTTCTTTTGTTTGTATTTTAAATATAGTGTTGAAGTAAATAGTGTTTTGCTTAATGTCGAGTAGTTTGACCAGTTGCATTGCATCTAGAACATGGCACTTCACATCTACTTTTAAAATAAAAATTTAGGGTCTTAATATTTTGAGGGGGTCTGGTCTTCTCTGGTCCACAATAAATAGTAGTGGCATACTTGTTTCAGTTAGCCACTGAGTTCCTGAATATGGGCCAGTCCACTGACTCTAAGCGGTCCCATAGAAGCCCTTCTGTTGCCTCATCAACACAACACTACTTTTGGTACTGGGTCCTCACACTTCAGTTTCCGCTTGTAAGCGAGGAAGAAGACCAAAGCGTTGTGGTCTGATTTTTTCCAAAATGTGGACAGGGGATAGAGCAGTAGACATTTTTAATTGTATAGCAATGTTCAAGGATGTTTGGACTTTTGGCGGGACAGGAGATGTGTTGATGGTATTTTGGTAACACGTTCTTGAGATTGTAACCGGTGACTTCACCCAGGCCAATGCACAAGGCCTCGGGCTATTCTGTCTCAATTCTGCTTATAGTGTTACACTTCAAGTCTACTCGTCACTTCTTCGTGGGGTGGGATGTAGACTGCTGTCAGGATAATGGAGGTGTACTTGGGTGGCAGGTGGTAGGAATGGCAGTTTAAGATATTCTAGGTCCAGGGAACAGTAACTCGCCAGGGACACCATGTCTGAGCACAAGGAGTTGTTGATTAGGAGGCAGACCCTTGCCTTGCCCAAGAACGCTGAGTGGTCTATTCAGTGAACTGTGAAACTCGCAGGTTGTAACGCAGTATAAGATGTAGCAGGAGTGAGCCATGTGTCTGTAAAACTTTGTAAGGTGAGTTTAGCTTTAGGTTCATCCATTTTGTTCTCAACGGCTTGGATGTTTGTCAGGAGTGTGCTCGGGAGGGGAGACTTGAAGCCCCGAAATTTCAGTCTCACCTGAAGTCCAATGTATCTTCCACATTTCCTGAAATAGTATTGCGATGGCTGCCCTGGTCGATCCCAGGTATCAATGAGGGAAGTCTGCTCTTCTGGAAGATAAGTGCGTGATCCTGATGCGGTCCTGGGCACCAGTCACGGCCTTAAATGTTCTGTGGTGTCTTCTGGTCAGTTCGGTCGGGCCTCTTTGATATCTGAACGCTGCAAGGTCAGGTATTGTTCCCCTGCTGATTGGACCTCTGTTCCAGGTTTCCACGAGGTCAGGAAAGGCAGGTCTGAGAGGCCGGAAAGCCTCTGGGCATGCAGTTCCACCATCAGCAAAGTAAGTGGTATGCCTGATGTGGCCCTGGGCACGAGTCTCATTCACAAGCCCTTTGGGAGGTCTTGCAGTCAGTCTGATCGGATTTCCTTGATCTCAGTTCACAATGGGCCAGGTCTTGTTCCTGCGCTGGTCAGGCCTTGGTTCTGGAGTTCCATGAGGAGTTCAGGCTTGAGGTTGTAGACATGTTCGCCGAGCTCGTGGGTTTGGTTGCAAACGTCCTGCTGTAAGCAGGACAGAACACCGACACTTCCCCGGAGGTGTGGTGACGAAACATTTGCAACCAAACCCATTAGCTCAGCGAGCATGTCTCCAACCTCATTCACAACCTGAGCTACAAATCTTATCAAACTTGAGATCAGGTTTGTGGGAAGCTGGTAGGCCTTTGAGTCCTTTGGGCTTGTGGTTCAAGCATTGGCAGGCAAGACAGTTGGAAAACCTTTAAACCTGAAAGTAGATTTAAGAGAAGATTATTTGTAATTCCAATAGACTTAAACTTAAAATTGAGGTTTCGATAAAGCAGAGCAGTTATAAGATACGTTGTAGACTACTTGCAAAGTGTTGCCATACTCTGGTGCCATCATGAACATAGCTAGATGAATCCTGAGGTTCCTGCTCGTGAGGTGCCATTTAATTTCTTTCCTAACTCCCTGAAATCTACCTTCAGGCCCTCCTCCCTTTTCCTTGGTACTAATGTAGACCAGGTTCTGGTTGATTCCTCTACCCAGGAAGGCAAAACGCCCTCCTGGGGTTATGTTTACTGCCAAAGAAATGCTTGTCTGTTTCCCCGACTATGGGATTCCCTATCACTATTGCTTTTCCGTTCTTCTTCCTCCTCCTCTGTACAGCTGAGTCATTTGTGGTCCTATGGGCTTGTCTGTGGCTGCATTAGCTTGAGGAATCATCGCTCTCACCAGTGTTCAAAATGGACTATCACTTAGCAAACATGATAGACTCAGAGTCTCTTGCAGTATTTGCTTGGTTTTTGTAGACTGCCTGATGGTAGTCATCCATTCCCTCTCTGCCTCTACACTTCTGGTCTATGTTGTGTCCACCTACCTATATGTGCACAATAATGATGTCCGTTGCTGCTCAAGTTCTGAAACCTGGATCTCGACCTGGTGTATCTGGCAGATGTTTGCCTGGGACACGTGGTATATCCATGACTTTATGCAAACCACAGGATGTATACTCCACTTGGCCTTTCTGACATGCCATAATATAACACTAAACACTGTTTTGTTACCCTTAAAATATGTACAGGCTTGCAATGAAAACCTAGCAAGCTATTTCTCAGAAAAATGTGTCTAGGGACTTGAAAACAAACTAGACATCCAAGTTTTACTTCAAAGACTGTAAGTACATACTTAATCACCAATAAGCTGCCTTCCCTGCAGTCATAACGTCACACCACGATTGACCTCAGTGCAGGTAGGTCCCTTGATCTGCCCGTTATTTCCCCTCCTGCTCAATTCTCACTTTGGAGACTTTATTTCTTCCGTTGAACCTTAATATAAGCAGCTCTTAATGAAGTCTCCAAATTCCCACAGCCCAAATTTCCAACTACTCGCTCTATCTCGGTCTCATCCCAATGAAGTTTTGCTCACTCTGACCATGCACTTTGAGAACTATATGAAAAACTCTGGTGACAGACTATATTAAAATCTGAGAGATTTGGTTTTCTGGTTCTATACAGATAAATCTCCTTGGAATATCAGGTCAAGGGATAAAACAACACCTTGGATGTGCAAGACCTCAGAACAACAGATTGGACAAGAAAGACTTCCTTTATGCAGCATTTTGATGACCTCTGCAATTTCCAAACCACTTTAGTGGAAACAAACAGTTCATCATTTGGGCATTTACTTTTTATGGTTCTGGAAAGGCCATTTGTTTTTTAATCTTTGCCATAGAGTTAGGTGTTTATCCATGTCATTCACATTAGTCGAAGAGTAAATTGAAGCCTGAATTGAAATTGAAACAAAGCAGAAATTGTTGGAAAAGCTCAGCAGGTCTGGCAGCATCTGTGGAGAGAAATCAGTTAACGTTTCAGGTCAGAACTGATGGTAGCTAGGAAAATGTCAGTTTACATGCAGAAGATAAAGTTGGGGTAGGAAGTAAGAAGTAAATGATAGGTGGGGATAGAGCCCAAAGAGATAAAAGAAGGAAATGGACATTTCAGGCTCCCTTGTTCTTATGATTTTGGTTGCTGAACTTGCACTCTGAATAAATGACAGGTTCAGAACCTGATCTTTTTTTATTTTCTACAATTTGATCAGCTTTTTTTTAATGGAAGGAATAGGTGATTACAATACTTTAGTTATTACATCTTTTAAATCCAGTGACTTTTGCCATGATTCATGGATTTTATTTTCTTTCTCATTTAGATTGAAGCTGGACAGTATTGCACATTCGTCATTGCATCTGATGGATCAGTGAGAGCCTGTGGCAAGGGCAGTTATGGAAGGCTTGGTCTAGGTGATTCAAATAACCAATCCACCTTGAAAAAGTTAACTTTCGAACCACATCGAGCTATCAAAAAAATCTCCTCGTCGAAAGGTTCTGATGGGCATACACTAGCATTTACCTCGGAAGGAGAAGTCTTTAGTTGGGGTGATGGTGATTATGGAAAACTTGGACATGGAAACAGTTCCACCCAAAAATATCCCAAACTTATTCAGGGCCCATTACAAGGAAAAGTAAGTGCTTAATCATTCTAAGAATTTCCAATAAAAAAACTTGATTCAGTGTGACTTCTTTCTCTTCAAGAATTTGAGAGAGAATAATTGTAATAGCTGTGGTAAATCATTATTATACATCCAAATGAAATATGTTCTGTGACAGCTTGATTTGACAATAATTTCTACATATCCTTTTTAAAGGCCGTTGTATGTGTCTCTGCTGGCTATAGACACAGTGCAGCCGTTACGGAAGATGGCGAATTGTACAGCTGGGGTGAAGGGGACTTTGGGAGGTTAGGTAAGGTTTTTCTTTTTAATTTTCTTGGCAAAGTGGTGACAAAGTAGTCGAGGAACATAGGAACTTAAGAATTAGGAATGGGAGTAGGCAACTCAGCCCTTTGAGCCCACTCTGCCATTTAACATGATCCTGGTCTCAATTCTACTTCTTTGTTTGCTCCCCATAGCCCTTTATCCCATTATTCATCAGAAACCTATCCTGTTTCTTTTCAAATCTGATTCAACCTCCACTGCATTGTGAGTTCCACAGATTCACAACCCTTTGAGAGAAGTAGTTTCTCTTCTCGGTTTTGAACCTACCTTCTCTCCCTCTATATCTACGACCTTTTGTTTGAGACCATCCTACATGGGGGAAACATCTGTTGAGCATTCACCTTATTAACCCCATTTAGCATTTTATATGCCTCGACCAGATTCTGTCCCCCCACCTCTTCATTCTTCTGAACTCCAGTGAGTACAAGTTCAAACTATTCAAATCCTTTGAGTACGACAGCCCTTTTGATCCCTAGAATCAACCTGGTGAACCTCCTCTGGACTGCCTCCAGTACCACCACGTCCTCGTTCAAGTAAGGAAACCAAGATTGGACACAGTACTCCAAGTGTGGCCTCATCAATGCCTTATACAATTGTACAAACACTTGTATAGTTATATAATCTAGTCCTTCTGCAATAAATGCCAAGATTCCATTACCTTTCTTATTATATGCTGCACCTGCATGTCTAATTTTTATGTTTCATATACAGCCACCCTGATCCCTCTGCAATGATGCACTTGGAATCTGCTTATTTAACTAATAATTTGCCCTATTACTTTTCTGGTCAAAATGGACAACCTCGCACTTATTCACATTAAACTCCATCTGCCAGATTCTGGCCCATTCTCCAAGCCTGTCAATATCTATTTGTAAACTCTATCTCCACATCACAAACTGCTTTCCACCTATTTTGGTAATATCTGCGAATTATGCTAATTTGTATTCTTCTGCTGCTGCTTGCAGATCATTTACATAGATGGTAAACAGTTGAGGTCCAGGAACTGAACCCTGTGGCGTCCCACTAGTTAATTTGCCTTCCTTAGAAGGATCCATTTATCCCAACCCTCTGCTTTGTGTAAGTCAGTCAATCATCTATCCAAGCCAGTAATCTACCCTTAACCTTCTCTGACCTAACCTCCTGGATCAGTCTTTTATGTGGCATCTTGTCAAACGCCTTCTGGAAGTCTAGATATACTACGTTCACCAGATCCCCATTATCCGCATTGTTGGTTACATCTCAAAGAACTCCAAGTTTATCAAGCATGACTTGCCCTTCATGAAACTGTGTTGACACTGATAAATTGACTTTGTTTTTCCAAGTGTTCAATTATCTCTTCCTTTATGATTGATTCCAGAAACTTCTCCACTGCAGAGCAGTCTCTAGCTAAAGAAGTTTGCATAAATATAGTGAAAGAGAAGGCATACATTTCTGCATAATTTCTTCTGCTATGGAAATGTTAAGTAATGATCAAAGTCATTTTCTTGATGAGCATTTATTTTGTGTGAAGTCATGCTGATGTGCCTTTTTTACATTTTATGAACTGCACAGGGACTAGTGACATTTTGCAAATCATTCCAGTTCAAGCACTCTTCACACAATTTGAAGTGATGGGCTTACTCTTTAATTAAATGCTTTTCTATGTTTAGTCTGTAAAAGCTTGCTCATAGCTGTAATTAGACTAACTACTCTGCAGTTACTTGGCTTGTCCACGTCTCCATGCTTAAATGGATATTTTAGATTCGCTACCTACCCATCGCAATAAAATTTACATTGCTATGAAAGATTGAAAAATAGTACTCCAGGGTTTTTGCTTCGGCCTTTGTTCAGCCTTTACAACATACAACTGCTGAGTGACGTCCGTTTTGAGTTATGTTGTTATTACAGTAGAAATAGTTTTTGGCAAGTAAATTTGATTATTTCTCACATTCCTCTGCTACTCCTACATTCTCTCTTTGAACATCAATAGTTAAAGTGAAGACTTATTGCAAATACATAACTTCCTGGAGTTTCTTTGATTACAGAAAGACCCTGTAAGCACAGTGTCATGGGGGTGAGTTTGCTTTGTTTTCAGATTGTGTTTTATGGGATGGGGGAATCTCAGTATGCATAGTAAAGACTCTTTATTTTCCTATTTAACATGATACTATGTTGGTATCTTGTCAAAGTGTGGTTGTGTTATGAATGATTTGCTGAACCAGTAAATTATTGTTCTAACCTTTTTTATTGAGAAGGATCAATTAACTGGCCGACTTTTGACCTGTTTATTCTTTCAGGCTGATAGGTTCGTCTCTCTTGTGTTGTGAATAGACACAATCTTTATTATGGAAATTATTAGACTTGTATATTTTCACAGTAACTTCTTGGATTATCTGTCCTGGCTAACCTCGTTCATATGTACCCTGTCTTTCAATCTGTTCTTACGCCCATTATCAAAATTATTCAATTTCTTCGAAATAGTGTTCAACTGAGTTGAGTACACATTTCCTCTAAGGTTCTATACGTTGAACTAGTTAATAGCAGTTACAAAGCATTGGTGAGTTCTTGCGAAGGAACTTTTTCTGTGTCATACTAGTCCCATGGTTTCATGTCATCAGTGCCTACAGCAGAATTAGACACTTGCATTTCTCAGCTTGTTTGATTGAAAATAATGTATTTTGCTGCTTGTATGAATGTTTGACTCTAAGCTTCATTTTTGAAAATCATCAGGTAAAGTTTCCTTCCTCAGAAGTTTTGGATGGCTTTGTGTGACTTGGTCTTATACAACATAGAACAGTACAGCAGAGGAACATTTCCTTAGAATCTCTATAGCGTGGAAACAGGCCCTTCGGCCCAACCCTCGGAGCATCCCACCCAGACTCATCTCCCAATAACCCACCTAATCTACACATCCCTGAATGGTATGGGCAATTTAGCATGGCCAATCCACCTAGCGTGCACATCTTTAGACTGGGGGAGGAAACTGGAGCACCCGGAGGAAACCCACGCAGACACGGGGAGAATGTGCAAACTCCACACAGACAGTCGCCTGAAAGTGGAATCGAACCCGGGTCCCTGGTGCTGTGAGGCAGCTGTGCTAACCACTGAGCCACTGTGCTGCCCCCAAAGAGCAAACATGCTCTTTGACCCATCATCTCTGTGCTGATTATGAAGCCGTTCTAATTTACTCCCATCGACCTGCAAATGATCCATACCTCTCTCTTCCCTACCTGTTCATGTGTCCATTGAACTGTCTCAAATCATGGTGATGAGTCTGCATCTACTACCTCCCCTGGCAGCATGTTCCAGGCACTTGACAGCTACTATGTTTTTTTTTAAAAAAAAAGCTTTCCACACACATCTCCTTTAAACTTTTCCCCCTCTCAACTTAAACCTATGCCACCCTGTATTTGACATTTCCACTCTGGGGGATTAAGAGTCTGACTCTTATAATTTAAAACATTTCTATCGGGCCACCCCTCAGCCTCCGATGCTCTAGCAAGCAATCCAAGTTTGCCCAACCTCTCCTTGCAGCTAATAGACTCAAATCCATGCAACATCCTGGTAAATCTCTTTTGCACCCTCTCCAAAGTCTCCACATACTTCCAATAAGTGTCGTGACTACACAGTAGTCCAAAAGTCCCCTAACTATAGTGTTATACAGCATGTAATGCTAAAGGATTCTTGTGCAATATCTAGGGGAGGAACTGAACAAAAGTAATTGTGGAGATAACAAGAACTGCGAATGCTTTGTTTAAGACAATTGGGTGTTGTGGTACTAAATTTGAAGGAGTGATGACTCGCTGAGTATAAACAAGGTGGAAGCTTAAAAATACAGTGACCACGGTGGTGGATGAAAGTTAGAGTCATAGAGTAATCAGCATGGAACAGGCCCTTTGGCCCAAACTGTCCATGCTGACCATGGTACTCATTCAGCTAGTTCGAATTGCCTGCACTTCATCCATATCCTTCTAAACCCTTCCTATCCATGGACTTCCAAATGCTTTTTAAATGTTGTTATTGTACCTGCCTCAACCACTTTCACTGGCGGCCCATTCCATATACACACCACTCTGTACGTGAAGAAGTTGCCCCTCAGGTCCTTCTTCAGTCTTTTCCCCTCTCACCTTACACCTATGCCCTCTTGTTTTCAATTCCCTATCCCTGCGAAAAAAGACTATATGCACTCATCCTATCTATGCCCCACATTATTTTGTATACCTCAATAAGGTCACCCCTCATTTTCCTATGTTCCAAGGAATAAAGTCATATCCTGGCCATCCTCTCCCTATAACTCAGGTCTTGTAGTCCTGGCAACGAAGTCTAGGCCCGAAACGTCAGCCTTCCTGCTCCTCTGGTGCTGCTTGGCCTGCTGTGTTCATCCAGCTCTACACCTTGTTATCTAACATCCTTGTAGATCTTCTTTGCACACTTTCCAGTTTATCTGTGTCTTTCCCATAGCAGGGTGACCAAAGCTGTACACAATACTCCAAGTGTGACGTCACCAACGACTTTACAACTGTAACATAGTGTCCCAACTCCTACACTCGATGTCTTGACCGATGAAGGCTAGCATGCTAAATGTCTTCGTCACCACCATGCCTACATGTGATGCCGCTTTCAGTGAACTATATACTTGTACTCCTAGGTCCCTCAGTTCCACAAAAGTCCCAGCACTGACCCCAGTGACACAGCACTTGTCAAAGGCCTGCGATCTGAGAAACAGCCTTCAGCCATCACCCTCCCCTTCCCACCATCGAGCCAATTTTGAACCCAATTAGTGAGCTCTCCCTGGATCCTATGCGACCTAACCTTCATGACTAACATGCCGTGTGAGACCTTGTCCAAGATCTTACTGCAGGCCAAATAAGCAACATCCGCTGCCCTACCCTCATCTATCCTCTTGGTTACCTCTTTGAAAACCTCTAAAAGATTTGGCAGGCATGACTTAATGTGCACAAATCTATGCTGATTATCCCTAATCAGATC